CAACGCTCGTATTCAAGGTTGTCTTTTTTACCGCTTTTGACGATTATTTTCTTATTTTTTTCCTCCCGATCCCCACCCACATTTCTCTTTTTGTTTCTCTTACCCTCTGCCTCCATATACACTGTCTCTGACTAAACAGATCCGAGTAATCTGGGGATTGTAGATGTTGTAAAGGGGGTTCGAGACTCGTGTGATGGCCCTTGGGATGCTGAAACCTGACTGACTAAGCTTCAGATCCCACTAGGTGACTACGTGACAGGCAGTTAGGGATGCGAAGATAGTGCGGAGCCGAAGTAGTAGATGGAGTTACTGCTTACAAGGGAGGTCGTTCAGATCGTGGTGAGCTTTTTCAAAACGATTTGTTGCATGTTGTAGGGGTCCATACAAGGACCACACAGATGGGTTTCATTTTTGCTAAACGCTATTGGGAATGCAAAAAAAGGAATAAAACAATTGCTCAAATGCAAGTAGACGACATACTATCTGATTGCCTTAGTCTTCAAAACAGCCGTAGACGTAATCCTCAACGATGTCAAAGCCTGTCTGCTACAGCTACTATCCCTGCGAAACCAGTAGAATGTCCAGTGAGGTTGGATGAGCCTGTTACGACAGCCTTTTCCATCTTAGATGGCTCGCGATCCCATTAATTGGAGGAAAAGGATGTCGCGGTTGTGCTCCAATCCGCGCCCCCTCGCACGCTCAATCGGCGCCTGATGTTGCGAGACAAAAGAAAATCTTGGCGGAATTCCTGCCACGAAAAGCTGGAGCGCAGAGAAATAAGGAACTGTAGCCGCCAAGGCATAGAGAGGTACAAAGACATGTCGCTAGCAAGGAGGTGGCCTTTCGTTAAAGGAAGGGGACACCTACTTATTATGCATGAGAAGTTGAAAAGGAAAGTGTTGTGAAAGGTCACAGCGGTCACAGAACGCCATGAAGACGTAGAAACCGTAGACCGGGGCCCGTTCAAAGCTGCTTACACGGTTCCAGTTCTTCTTCGAGCGTTGTGCTGCTTTAGGCTACCTCAAGGAGAAGGACCAGCAGCTGCACGAAAAAAGCAACCGCGTACGAGAATGCGAAGATCTCAACACTCAACTGGTTTGTACTAGACTTTCAGTAATTTCCTTCTAGTTTTGCAGAACTTATAGAAACTTAGGTGGCGAACCTCAACTAGGAGGACCAGCAGCTGCACGAGGAAACCAGACACATGCAAGAACGCGAGGATATCAACACTCAACTGATCCCTACTGGCCTTTCAGTGATTTCCCTGTAGTTTTGCAGGACGCAGCTGCACAAGGAAACACACCGCACCCGCATACGGGAATACAAGGATGTCAACTCACAACTGCTCCTTATTGGCCTTTCAGTGATTTCCCTCTAGATTTGCAGAACGCAGCTGCGCAAGGAAACCAACCGCATACAAGAGTGCGAGGAAATCAACACTCAAGTGGTTCGTACTGGACTTTCAAAGATTTCCTTCTTGTTTTGCAAAACTTATTGGAACTCAGGTGGCGAAGCTCGAGGAGGAGGACGAGCAGCTGCACAAGGAAACCAACCGCGTACGGGAATACAAGGATGTCAACTCACAACTGATCCGTATTGGCCTTTCAGTGATTTCCCTCCAGTTTTGCAGAGCGCAGCTGCACGAAGGAAACCAACCGCATACGGGAATACAAGGATGTCAACTCACAACTGATCCGTATTGGCCTTTCAGTGATTTCCCTCCAGTTTTGCAGAGCGCAGCTGCGCGAGGAAACCAACCGCATACAAGAGTGCGAGGAAATCAACACTCAACTGGTTCGTACTGGACTTTCAAAGATTTCCTTCTAGTTTTGCAGAACTTATAGAAACTCAGGTGGTGAACCTCGAGGAGGAGGACGAGCAGCTGCACGAGGAAAACCAACCGCATACGGGAATGCTAGGATATCAACATTCAACTGGTTCGTGGACCTTCAAAGATTTCCTTCTTGTTTTGCAGAACTTATAGAAACTCAGGTGGCGAACCTGTGGGAGAAGTACCAGCAGCTGCACAAGGAAACCAACCGCATACGGGAATGCCAGGATATCAACAATCAACTGGTTCGTACTGGACTTTCAAAGATTTCCTTCTTGTTTTGCAGAACTTATAGAAACTCAGGTGGCGAACCTCGAGGAGGAGGACGAGCAGCTGTACGAGGAAAACAACCGCATTCAAGAGTGCGAGGAAATAAACACTCGAATTGTTCGTACTGGATTTTCAGTAATTTCCTTCTAGTTTTCCAGAATGTATAGAAACTCAGGTGAGAAGCCCAGAGAGAAGGATCAGCAGGTGCACGAGAAAACCAACCGTATACAAGAATGCGAAGAACTGAACACTCAATTGGTTCGTACTGGTCTGTTAGCAATTTCTTTCTAGTTTTACATTACAGAACTTATGGAAACTTAGGTGGCGGACCTCCAGGAGAACGATCAGCTTCTGCACGAGAAAACCAAGCGCGTACAAGAATACGAAGATCTCCTGGTTCGTACTGGAGTGCTAGCAATTTCTTTCTAGTTTTACGTTACAGAACTTATGGAAACTCAGGTGGCGAACCTCCAGGAGAAGGACCAGCTTCTGCACGAGACAACCAAGCGTATACAAGAATACGAAGATCTCCTGGTTCGTACTCAGCCCTTAGCAATTTCCTTCTAGTTTTGCTGAATTTATGGAACTCAGGCGGCGAACCATCAAGAGAAGGACGAGCTGCTGCTCGAGAAAACCAAGCGTATACAAGAATACGAAGATCTCCTGGTTCGTACTCAGCCCTTAGCAATTTCCTTCTAGTTTTGCTGAATTTATGGAACTCAGGCGGCGAACCATCAAGAGAAGGACGAGCTGCTGCTCGAGAAAACCAAGCGTATACAAGAATACGAAGATCTCCTGGTTCGTACTGAGCCCTTAGCAATTTCCTTCTAGTTTTGCTGAATTTATGGAACTCAGGCGGCGAACACCCAAGAGAAGGACGAGCTGCTGCTCGAGAAAGCCCGTCGAATAGAAGAATGCGAAGATCTCAACACTCAACTGGTTTGTCCTGAACTGTTAGCAGTTTCTTTCAAGTTTTGCAGATCTTCTAGAAACTTATACTGAGCAACTTCAAGCGTTGCTAGAAGAGAAAATGACCGCGTGTCAACTGAGACGAAAAGAAGAATTGTATGAAGGGGGAACGATGAAATCCTCAAAAGAGAACTGACAACAGATCACGAAAAATGGATGCTGGAGCGGTAAGATGAGCATTATTACATGATGCTCATGTTACCGCCCCTGTACTGTAATCAGGTTTTATGCGAGTGGATTTTGTTTGCTAAGGTTCTTAGCCGTTCAAGCCTTGCTCCTTACTTGTTTTGAGAGGTCATCTCATTATTGAACATAGTGTTCACTGTTCCACTAGAGGCGGTTAGCCTTCGGGTATTCTGGATTCTCCGAACCTGCGCTTCTTATTCAAGGAAAAGGTTCCTTCTTTGATCCAGTGGAGTTGCCTCTATATCCCGCTTCGCCGCTCACTGTTAGCCGCAGTTTTGCATGTCGCACAGCCTGGCGTACTGATAAGCCCCTTCTAGTTTCTAAAACAGCTGGCTAGTCAACCCGCCAACAGCCTTGATCACAATTTGATGGT